ATCTCTGGATGACCCTGGTGGAGTTCAGTCAGTATCTGGTGGCAACCTTCACTTGGGAGAATCAATCATGCTCCCCATAATAATATGCCGTCCTCTACTGTAACCTGGTCTCTCTGGATCCAAAAAGATTTTGATTCTGGTTGTGACAGCCCTTGGTTACCCCCATCACCACTAGCTGTTTCAGTTTTGACAGGATCTGATCTTTCTGCATCCAAAGTTTGATATTGTCAGCTGTGACTGGAAATGTGTCTAGAAAATTTAAAATCATTATGGACTTTTCCAGTAGTGGTACCACCGGTGGTGTATATGCCAGCGGGAGGCGGTTCAATGTATCTACATTTGCTACTTGGCTTCTCGGACGGTGTTCCAATTTGTAGTTGTACACACTTAGTATTAAAGCCCTCCGCTGAAGTCGGCCTGAAGCTATGGGCAGCACTGCCTTGGCTTCTTTAAGTAGACTTAGCAGGGGTTTGTGGTCTATTATTATTACAAATTTACTCCCATAAAGGTATTGGTGGAACTTCCTGACTCCAAATATGACTGCCACACTTTCCTTCTCTATCTGAGCGTATTTACGCTTTGCATTAGCTGAAGTCCTGGATACATATGCCATTGGGCATTCCTCTCCATGGGCTACCAATGAGCTAATACCATCCCGATGCATACTTCATGTTTCAATACTCGATCTCGCTTGGGATCATAATGTGCCACACCTTAGAGGATGATAGCTGTTTCTTCACTTCCCTAAAAGCTAGGGCCTGGTTACACGATTTCCAAGGTTGACTCTTTTGTAAGAAATGATGCAAAGGTGCCAGGATGGAGTCCAGGTTATGTGTGAACTTTCTGTAATAGCTCATCAGCCCAAGGAAAGACCTAAGCTCTGTACAGGGGTGGGAGCCAGGGTACCTTTGATTGCCCTCACTTTATCTTCCAGTGGGTGTAACACAGTCTTGTCAATTCTGTAGCCCAAGCAGGTCACTTGGGAGTGCTTGGAACACACATTTTTCCCTCCTAAGGCATATGCCCACCTGGGAGCAATGTCTAAAGAATGAGTCCAAGTTCTCTAAGTGCTCCTTATCTGTCTTCCCTGTTATTAGCACATCACCTAGATAAATGGCAACTTGGGGTAGACCTTGGTTAAAAGTTCTCCATCATCCAATAAAAATTTGCAAAGGCTGATGATACTCCAAATGGTATCTCGTATATTGGTACAAACCCATATGGGTATTAATTGTAGCATACCTCTTGGAATCCTCATCTAACCGCAATTGCAAGTACATATGGCTTATATCCAGCTTTATGAAGACAACCCTCTGCCAGCTTTGCACATAAATATTCTATGTGAAAGACTGGGTATTTATCCAGCTGGAAAAAGCAGTTTGCGTTTGTTTAAAATCCCCAAATAGGCAAATTGACCTGTTGGGCTTCACAATCAATATGACCGGTGCTCCCCATTCTGAAAACGGTACTGGTTTGATGATTTCTTTGCTTTGTAGCCTGCTGATTTCTGCCTCTATTTTTGCCCATGAGGCAAATGGCACTGGGCAGGCTTTGCAGAAAGGGTTTGAAAGAGTTTAGTATCTGGTGCCTCAGGGAAAGTTTGGCTCCTTATAACTGAAAAAGCTGCGGATCCACAAGATGTCAGGAGAATTACTCATTGTTTTTCATCTGCCCCAATATAATTTGCCCTGAAAAACAATGCATTCTTTTCACATATTGGGAGTTTTCAATGGCAGGATTGAACAAGTCAAGTTTCCCAAATGACAGCTTGATGCCAGAAATACTTACCCCAACTCAAAGATGACTGTTGCGAGCGAATTCCTTCAGGAGCTTCCTTTTCTGTCTTCACCACTGAAATAACTCCATAGAGGCCATTATCCTGTCACCAAATAACTCTTTATTTACATGTGGAGACTCGACACTGATCCAGCTCTCTCAGAGTCAGTTCGCAGAGTGAACATAATGTCTGACACACCTGTTCTTATCTGTTAGCCATGGCTCCCTGATTGGACCAGATTAACAGCCCCAATCAGGGAACTCATATTCTACAAGGTTCAGAACATGATGGAAATAATAAAATATATTTGTGAAGATAGAAACAAAGTTAATTTTTGAGTGAACTTTCAACTGAATTGGGAAGAAGTGGGATAATACTCAGGATTGAGTCTAGAATGTTATAAAGTGCCCACTCAATGGATGAGGTGCTATTTCCTAAGCTATCTTTGAGCAACAGTGCACATAGCTAGATACAAAGAGGTCAGAATGGGAGTGGGGTTTGTAATTTTAATCCTCTATCCCAGTTATGTCTAACATTTTTACTGTTCTGACGAGAGGTCACAAACCTTAAATATTAATTGTGCTTCTCTTTCCAAAGATGTTGTCTGACTTGAGTATTTCTAGCATTTTTTTCATTTCAGATATCCAGCATCCACTGTTATTTACTTCAAATGTTATATATGCTTGATTAATGTAAATTGAAATGTAGATAAAACAAATGTGACAACAATAAGATTAACAAATTAATCAGAATTTTAAAAATTCTTTCATGGGATGTGGGCATCACCAGAAAGAAGTGCAAAGATGGTTGGTCTTAGGACATGACCCTGTTGTAATGTCCTGAGACTGAGATGATTGGCCTTGAACTATCAAAACCATCTTCCATTGAGCTCGCTGTGACTGAAATTGGTGAGGCATTTTGCGACAGATTTCCATGAATTTTAATTTTGCATGGTTTCCTTCATGCCATACTTAGTCAAGTGCTGCCTTGGTGTCAAGGGCAGTCATTCTCACCTCACCTCTTGAGTTCAGCTCTTTCATTTATCTTTGGACAAAGACTGTATAGATCTTGATGGATCCCAAACAGAGCAACATTGTGGTTATTGTTGAGTAAATGTTCCTAAATAGCATTGCTGCCAGCACTCTCCATCACTTTTCTGATGTTATAGAGAAGGCTGATGGAGCAGTAATTGGATGATTTTGATTTTTCTGGTCTTTTTGCAGTTAGGAAAAACCTACTCATTGTTGAGTTGATGCCAGTGCTGTTGCTGTATTGGGACAGCTTGACTAGGGGCATGGATAGTTCTGGAGTGCAAGTCTTCAGTACTATAGATGGAATGTTGTCAGGGCCCATAGCCTCATATAATGCATCATGTCACAGCAGTATCCAGTGCCTTTAGTTACTTCAGTGTCAAGTAGAATGATTCATATTGACTGAAGATTGCCATCTGAGGACCTTAGAAGGAGTCTGAGATTACTCAGTATTTCTTCAGCTTTGATCTTTTCACTGATGTGCTGGGCTGTCCCATCATTGAGGATGGGGATATATATGGAGTCTCCTCTGCAAATTTGTTGTTTAATTATCCATCACCAGTCATGTTTCGATGTGGCAGGACTTCAGAGCTTAGATCTGATCTATTGATTATGGAAATACTTACTTGGCTCTGTCAATTACATGCTGCTTCTGCTATTTTACACACAAAAGTTGTTGAATAAATTGACCCCTCATTTTTAGGTATAACTGATAAACTCCTGCTATGCCCTCCTGCATTCTTCACTGAACCATACACAGGTCTCTGTCTTCACATGGACTATGCAGTTGTCACTTGTACGGGTTCCAGTCAATCCGACTGATCGTGTTGCATCTGCAACAGGTAGATCAATGGCGACATTGTCTAGGAGATATTATCTTTTTATTGGTTCCCTTACCACTTGTTGCAGACCTAGTCCAGCAGCGATGTTCTCAGGACTTGGCCAATTTGTTCAGTAATGATGCTATTGAGCCACATTTGGAGGTAGACATTGAGTCTCCACCCAAAGTACACAATGGGCTCTTGCTGCCCCTGATATTGCATCCATTTGTTGTTCAGATTTATCAGCTGTGGGGGAGGAGGTGAGTGAGGAAGAGGTGGAAGCAGTGGTAGCGGTAAGCTTGATGCCGTAAGATTTCAAGGGGTCTGGAGTCAATATGCCAAGATCACAGGGCCATCCCTGCTTCTTGTCCTTACGTTACCTTACTGTTACCCAGGGCAATGGAGGAGGCTCAGACATTGGCTGTGAGTTGTGAGGTATAAGACCTATGCTTTGAAAACTTTGCTGCCTTGATCCTATCTGAACATTCTGAGCAAGGCCACACTTTGGGATTCAGGCAAAAGGAGTTAAAATACAGATCATTCATGATTTAACTGAATGACAGAAAACACTCAAGGGACTGATTGCTCTATTCCAATCAATGTATGGGTTTCTGAATAGACAGGTTATGGAGACCGTAATTACTATACCATTAGAAATTTTGATCTACAGAGAAATCACATTCAAGACAGTACAAACGTGAAAAAAGCGGGAGTTGAGGTACATACAAGAGGAGTATTTATGTGAAGTTAAGAATGAATTTTAAAGAATGCAACCTGTGAGAAAGACAATCTTGAGGCGTTTACAAAAAGTGAGAGAGGGAAGTCTAAAGTGAGGATTTGCAGGAATAGGGGGCAGGAACCATTCAAGAGACTTGAGAGAACAATTCAGAGCAGCAGTATTTTTTTAATGGTCAGATCGTTTGTAAAGACAATTTAAATAAGAAAACGGCGGTGCGCATGCAAAATGCATGGTAACAAGTAACGATATATATAAATTTTTAAAATACACGGATATTATAAAATTGTCGAAATGCGAAAATTTAGTACTCGACATTTCATTTATAAAAGCTTTGGATAGAACGAAGCGAATTTCTTTCAGTCTTTAAGGGTATCCTAATGTTAGCTTCTTACTGACAGACATTCCACAGGGCGCTGGGCGAATTGATACTTTGTGTTTCTAAAAAAAATGTTTGGAACCAACAATTCCCGGTAACGGAACGATCAAATTTCCAAGAACAGGAAACGAAACTTTCTGCATAATGCCGGAGGTTCAAATGAGGATCCAGTCACGGTGAAGGGAAACGTCCCCTACTTTCATGGCCTCCTCCTCCCCTTGGAGCTGTGCAAAGAACACTGTCATAAAACAGAAGCATTTCCGGCACAATAAGCACGCCTCTCCGAGCACTGATGTCAACACAGATAGATAGGGAGAGGAGGACCCAGGTGAGCCTTTGCCCCGTGTTAGCATCGAGCGTCCCCACCCCACGCACCTAAAACTTAGTCCCAAATTCAAGCTTGGAGTCTCCCGTGTCCTCACTTACCGACACCATCTCTGCCGTGATGGCTAAGAACCGCTCTCCAGATAAGAAATGCAGGAGCCGGACCAAGTTCGTGGAGGTAAGGTGGAGTCTGTTCACAGCCTGGCTAGGCTGAACTGCATTGCTTCTGCACAGTACTGGCGCTGCATCAGGCTGACCAGTGAGCAATGCAATTTGTTGAATTTGCAGTGTGCTGCCCATTAGCAGGCAGCGGCTGTATTCGGTACGAACTTGATATATGTATATTTTTAAAAAGAAATTAACGAGACATCCTGCTAAACAACTGTCGTGAAAAAAATCAATGCATTCGGCAAAGTGAGACCCCTTTTAGATTTGGGGGTGGGGTTTGTGGATTTGCTAAGGTCTGTCTTCTGGCGCATTATGTTCATCCCCCCTCCCCACTTTAAGTCGCGACATGTCATGCATGTTTCATATCTTACAACATACCCTCCTCCCTACTGCATGTTACTCACATCCTGCGAGTCAGAGGAAAAGCACGAACAGTTTTCCAGCTCCGAGCATCCAAGAGAAAGAATGACGTGTTTGTGATGGAAAACTATCCAGCTACCAGGAAAAATAAGAGAATTGCTACTGGAAACTATTGGGAAGGCTCCTTCGGATTAATCGCATTTCCAAAGTTCAGTGGCCAAATGCCTTTGGGAAGGTTATAGTGCAACTTAATAGAGAGAATTTCCTCCACTGTTGAAGATGACATTTATGCATTTTAGTCAGTTCCCTTCCGTGTGACATCAATTCGGTTGAAATCGGACGTTGGTGATGTTTCGACTGCAGCAGGAATAAGTGAAATCAACATTTTGTAGCACAGAAGGCGGCCATTCGTCTCATTCAAAAATTCGCTGTTCCAAAAATGCTTTGCGTTGAGTTACTTTCCCTGTTACTTCCTCAGAGCCGTTTAAATTTTACGGTTTGAGTATTTATCACTCCCTTTTTAAAGTTATTATGGGGTCTGTTTCCACCATTATTTCTGATGGGACAATTAGTAGTCAAAATAACATCGGCAAAATAAAGGAATAACCTTTCCCTTTATCCAGTTTTTAAAAGTTAAATTCGTGCCCTTCATTTGCCAACTCACCACCAGCAGAAACAGTTTTCCCAATTAGCTTTTCAAAAGCCCTCCTTATTTTGACCATTCCTGTTGATCCCCTACTGAAAGGAGCTCCAGTTTCTCAAGATAACAAGGTGTGGAGCTGGAGGAACTCAGCAGGCCAGGCAGCATCAGAGGGGCAGGAAAGCTGACGATTCAGGTCTGGACCCTTCTTCAGAAATGGGGGAGGGGCAGGAGGCTCTGAAATAAATAGGAGCGTAGGCGTGCTCCAACGCTTGGTTCATGACAAATGACAACACCTCCCAGTCGCGAACCACTTCAACTCCCCCTCCCACTCCCTGGACGACATGCCCATCCTGGGCCTCCTCCTGTGCCACAACGATGCCACCTGAAGGCTGGAGGAACAGCACCTCATATTCCGCCTGAGAACCCTGCAGCCCAATGGTCTCAATGTAGACTTTAAAGCTTCAAAATCTCCCCACCACCGACCTCATCCCAAGACCAGACCCCCTCTCATCCCCACCTCCCTGACCTGTCCGTCTTTTCTTCTACCTATCCGCTCCTCCCACCTCACTGACCAACCCCCACTTCCTACCTACTAGCCTTATCCCCGCCTCCTTGACCTGTCCGTCTTCCCTCCCACCTACCCGCCCCTCCCTCCTCACTGACCAACCCCATCCCAACTCCCTACCTACACTCATCTGTACTAGCTTCATCCCCGCCTCCTTGACCTGTCCCTCTTCTCTCCACCTATCTGCTCCACTATCCACCTTCTATCATCACCTCCTTGTCTCTCTATTTATTTCAGAGCCCCTTTCCCCTCCCCCATTTCTGAAGAAGGGTCCAGACCCGAAACGTCAGCTTTCCTGCTCCTCTGATGCTGCCTGGCCTGCTTGTTCATCCAGCTACACACCTTGTTATCTCAGACTCCAGCATCGGCAGTTCCTACTATCTCCAGTTTCTCAAGCATCCTTAAAAGTAATTTATTCTGGTCTGTATTGAGGTAAGATAAGTTAAAAATTAAGATGGCTGGAAACATGTTCAATTTGTTTCCCAATCCATGGATCTACTACATCCTTTCTCACCTTCAAGTGCCTCTCCAGAACCTACTGTCTTTGTCTTCAGTTATCTCATTTAACTTTTTCAGCCCCTGCTATGCATAAGGGTAAGTGCTGCACACAAATTGTAGGATCCCTGCACAAAAACAATAAGTGAGACTTTCATTGAGAGTTGATAGCAGAGGTGACCTTTGAGCCATTATGTTTATCCTGTCTGTCTGGAACAACAACTTAGCTCGCACCGTGCCCCAACCTTTTGCCTGTTACCTTACTTTTTTTTTTCTCTTCAGGAGCTTATACAATTCTGTTTCAGAAATGAGATTTTGCATCTTACTGTACCACACTCTCAGGTTATGCATTCCAGACAGCACTTAAAAAGATTTCCTTCACATTGCTGTTGGTTGCCATTAATTTCAAATCAGTGTCCTCTGGTTCTCGACCCTTCTGTCAAAAGGAATAGTTACTGTATCCAGACCGTACACGTTTCAGATTCTTTATTTCAGTTCTCCTCTCAACCTTCTCTCCTTGAAGGAAATCAATACAAGCCTCTCCAATATATTCACCTCTCTTGTATTTTTCTCTGTTGCCTTTATTCCTTATGATCCTCCCACTTTACCAAATTTTAAAGCATCAACTATTTGAATTTCCTACGTTTGGGAAACTAGCAAAAGCTGCTCCCTGTTTGGTACATAAAAGGTTCAACTCTCAGAGTACATTTTTCATTTCATCTAAGCTGTGGGAGAGCAGAGCTTGCAACTGGCCTTGTACAGAAGCTTGCAAAGAGGGAAAGAACTGGCAAGAGTCTTTACAATCCACATTATATAAAGGACCCTTCAGCATCCTCTGTGTTACAGCACTTATCTTCCCTTTGATACACTGTCATGGTTCAGTTTCAGATCTTTGCTGATCCCAGCCAGAACAGTAGGAATGGTACAACTGATCTTAGTGTGCTTGGGCCTGGGATGGCAAATCAGTTAGGTTTTCTTTTGCTAATGAGAGAATAGTGGTGAATTTTTGTTCTTTGGACTTGAGGAAAGTTTATTGTGAAGTTCCCCAGGTATCAGTATTAGGACCTCTGCACTAGATATTTGGTGTACAGGGCCATTTAAAAATGTGCAGATGCACAAATCTTGGAAGTATTGTGAACTTTGAAGGATTAGCATTAAACTCAAAATGACAGGCGGCTTAGAAGAATGGGTGGATAAGTGGCAGATAAAATTTAATGCAGGTAAGTGTGAAGTGATTCATTTTGGTAGGAAGAGATGGAGAGGATAAACTAAAGGGGACAATTTTAGGGTGTTCAGGAGCAGAAGGCCCTGGAGATATACGTGCACAAATATCGAAGGTGGCAGAACAGATTGAGAGCATTGCCAACAAAGAGTACAGCATCATGGCTTTTACAAGTAGGGCATAGAGCACAAAAGTACAAAACGTTATGGTAATCCTGAGTAAACCCCTAGTTCAGCCTTAACCGGAGTACTGTGTCCATTTCTGGACACCATACCTCAAAAAAAATTTGAAGGCATTAAAAAGGGTGCAGAAAAAGTTCATAAGAATGGTTCAAGTAATGAGGAACTTCAGTTACATTGATAAAGTGGAGAAGTTGTGATTGTTCTCCTTGGAGAAGAAAAGGTTCAGAGGAGGTTTGTTGGAGATGTTCAAAATCATGACGAGACTAGATAGAGTAGATAGACAGAAACTGTTGGTGAATTATTGATAACTAGAGGCACAGATTTAAGGTAATTGGGAAAAGAAGCTTTGGGGACACGACTACTGTAACTGGCAAAATGTTTATATCAATGACAAATAGATATTACATTTACATTTTCAAGCCACCAGTTTTTTTCTCATTTTGAAATTTGTTAGAGGATAATGATTCTGTGAGCTTAATTTAATGATTGGCATGAATGTGATCCATTGTTCAGCAGTGCTAAACTTAATTGAAACAAAACACATCTCTGTGCGTTTAACCAAGATGGATTTTGGTGGATTGAGGTAACCCAGCTCTACTATTGCTTTTACAAACAGCTATTGAGGAATTGAGAGTTTTATCCTAATACAGTGGGAAATAAACGTTGAGCTACAGAGTGCTTGATTAATAGGATATGAGATTGCATCAATGATTCCCACGTATTGAGCCCCTAATCTCTGTTGGATTATTGAGGAGAAGGCAGAGTGGAGGTACAATTGTTTAGGAGGGAAATCAGATGTGTTACTCCTCAACACTTATACTGAGTAACCAGTAACACCATTAAACTATCAGGGAGGCATAGGTTGGTATAACCTTTCAATTTGGAAATAGTTCACAGTTAAAACTTCATGTAATCTAAAATTGAATTACTAAACATTGGATCAGTGCAGGATTTTGGTAACAAATACTTAGTGATATTTTAAGCCTATCTTGTGAAAGCTGTAGTTTATCTGTGGAATTATTCCTGCAGTATGTAGGTTCCTTTACAGTGGAGGATCAAGATCTTGATGAAAAGACATGGCGGATCCACCAACAGCTTCATATTCTGAAGGTAAATACTGCATGTTGTAGCTAAGAGTGGTCTTAGAGGGATTGTTCTTAAAGTCAGTTACTAGCCCATTAACTGGTGGACAATTCCTAATAAACTAAACCATAGCAGTAGGATAACATTCAAACTAGGAAAAGGATCAGTTAAAAGCCTAATAAGACATAACAGTTGATCAACATAAAGGCTTCTGCTTACATTGGTGGTGGTTAAAAACTCCCAAATTCATTTAATTAGGAGTAGAATCCTGTGATTGCAGAGAAACATAAGAGACAGCGGATTCTTTATGGATGGAAGATCTTTTTGAATAGTGTAAAATATGGGATGCTAAGGATGAAACTGCTGCTGAATGTATTCCACTGCTATGAAGGGAGAACATAAAATGACTAGCATTAAAATAGATTGAATTGAAAAACTTATTGGCGAGAACCAAATTAGACAACATCTGGAGCTGGCTAAAGAAATGGCTAAATGAAGGTCTAAAGAAACCACTAAACTGCATGTGTTTTGAAGCAGAAAAAGACTTGGAAAGTGGAGGCACAATTGAAGCTAAGTTTCACAGTTTCAAAGTAGTAACATAGATTTATGTTTTCCAATTGAATTTTAATTTCTTAAATATATCTGATTAGCTGTAACTCTTTGAAGTTTGACATTTTTGGGTCGGGAAGATTGCAATAGTTGCTTAGTTTCATCATTAGAACACAAATATATCTTAACTTAAACGACTATAGATGGACATTAACTAAATGCTCAAAGTTAATATCTAATGTTATAAAAAATGTAACCTTTAATTCAAGAATATTTGGTGACCAAATCCAAATGCTAAATATTTTGAATTATAATAATGTTGAACACATCACGTTTAAGTTGCAATATTGTCCTTCTAACCTACAAAATGGGATGTGTTTGGGCAAACAGCTTCACCTTGTCCAAGATCCCAGTGCTAGTATAAAATAGAATCACAAAACAACATTAAGGTCAACTTAAAAGTGGTGAAAAGTAGCATGATAAACAATTGCTTCATATAAAATTATACTGTTAAGTAGTTGAGATGTTTGTAATAAAATAAAGGGTGATAGTAATAATTTCCATTAATCTAGACTATTCTATTCAGTTGTGGTCTGTGGGTTTCATCATTGCAATGGAAACCATAGTTATGCTTCTGAAAAATATGCACATTTTGCCTCTGCTGTTTTGACTATCTCCTTATTTAATTGTGGCCAACTTTCCCAGTATAAAATGGTTCCAGGTGCCAGGCATTAGTTGCAAACTAATTATCTTGCATAGGGCTTTTGTAAAGGGCCCTCTTGTGACACAGTGGTAGTGTCCCTACCTCTAGGCTGCAAAGCCCAGGTTCAACACCTGCCTGCGAAAGAGGTGTGTAAAAACATTTCTGAACTGGTTAATTAGAAAAATAGGTTAAATTTAGAAATAAAGGGCTCTGGTGATGCAGTGGTAGTGTCCCTACCTCTGGGTCATAATGCCTTGGTTTGAGAAACACCTACACCAGAGGTCATAGAGTCATAGAGATCTACAACTCAGAAAAAGGCCCTTCATCCCATCATATCTGCTCCACTCAAAAACAACAACCTAACTATTCTAATTGTATTTTCCAGCACTTATCCCATGGCATTGTATGCCTTGGCATCACAAGTGCATGGTAGTGATTGTAACAAAGTAAGCCAGGTGCTCCTCACAGAATATGAGTTCCCTGATTGGGGCTGTTAACCTGGGTCTAGTCGGGGAGCCCTGGCTGACAAATATAAACAGAAGTGTCAGACACGCTGTTCACTCTGAGAGCTGGCTCTGAGGAAGCTGGACCAGTGTCAAGGACTATGCATGTGTAAATAAAGGGTGACTTGGTGATGGGATACTGGCCTCTGTAGAGTTACTTCATGCACCTTTAATTACTTCTTAAATGTTTTGAAGGTTTCTGACTCAACCACCTTTACAAGCAATGAGTTCCAGATTCCTATTAACCTTTGGGTGAAAAGAAAAAGTTTTCTCACATTCCCTCTAAGCCTCCTGCCCCTAACCTGAAATCTATGCCACCTGGTCATTGATCCCTCCACTAAAGGAAAAGGCTTCTTCCGGTCTACCCTATCCATGCTCTTCATAATTTTATACATCTCATTCATGCCCCCTGTTAATCTCTGCTCTAAGGAAAACAACCCCGGTCTATCTAAACTCTGTTCATAACTAAAACTCTCAAGCATAGGCAACATCCTTGTAAATCTTCCCTGAACCTTCTCCAGTGCAATCACATTCCTCCTATAATGTGGATTCCAGAACTGCTAGCTGTGGCCTAACCAATATTTTATACAGTTCCAGCATAACCTTCCTGTTCTTAAACTCTATGCCTCAATTAATAAGGCAAGTATACCTATCATACGCCTTCTTAACCACTTTATCTACCTGTCCCGATATCTTAAGGGACCAGTGTGCATGCACACCAAGGTTCCTCTGATCCTCAGTGCTTCCCAGGGTCCTAAAGCTCATTATCTGTTCCCTTGCCTTGTTTGTCCTGTCCAAGTGCAAGACCTCACACTTATCCAGATTAAATTACATTTGCCACTGATCAGCTCATCTGACCAGCCTGTCTATATCCTCCTGTAATCTAGGCCTATCCTCCTCATGGATTATCACCACGCCAATTTTTGTATCACCTGTGAACATGCTAATCAATCCTTCTACATTCCAATCAAAATCATTTATATCGACCACAAACTGCAAGGGCCCCAACACTAACCCCCTATGCGACCCCAAAGGACATTGACTTCCAGTCAGAAAAACATACTCAACTATCACTCTCTGTGTTTCTTGCCATTCAGCCAACTGTGGATCCAATTTGGAAAATTGGATACCGTGGGCTGTTACCTTTGCTATCAGACTCCCATACTAGCCTTATCAAAAGCCTTGTTGATGTCCAAGCAGGCTATGTCAAAAGCATTGCCCTCATCTGCAAATGTGGTCACCTCTTCGGAAAATTCAATCAAGCCAGTCCCTTAACATAACCATGCTCACTATTCTTGGTTAATCCTCGCCATTCCAAGTACAGATCAATTCTGTCCCTCAGAATTGCTTCCAGTAGTTTCCCAACAACCGAGGTTAGACTGACTGGCCTACAGTTTCCTGATTTATCCCTTGCTCCCTTCTCAAATGATGGTACTACATTGGCTGTCCTCCAGCACCTCTTCTGTGGCCGGACAGGAATTGAAAATTTTTATATGTACCCATATTTGCTCCCTTGCCTCACTCAATGACCTGGGATACATTTCATCTGGCCCTGGAAATTTATCCATTTTGAGGGCTGCCACAGCACTCACTCAGGGCCTCTTCTCTGTTTATGCTAATTTCTTTAATTGTATCACAGACCTACTCCCCGATTTCTGTCAGGTGTTTCATAAAACATCTGAGCAGGTTGATGAAAAATATCCCTAAAATCATGATCCTAAGGGTTCTTATAGCACTATGGTAATGTCCTAGTTCTGGTCAAGAAGTCTGACTTGCGCCCGAGGTATGTCATAACATCTGTGACAGGTTGATTAGAAAATATCCTGGTTCCATGATCCTACAAGATTAATACGGAAGACTTAATGCTGTAGATGATGCATGTCTAAAGTGTTTGCTTTTGAAATTCTCTTTTGGATTTCAAAGAGTAATCAGTCATTTTGCCGGTAGAATTTCAATCTGTTTCATTCTTAAAAGGCACTTAAGTTGCATCTCAGGTCATCTGACATGTGCTTTTATTTTCTTGTAGAATCTTCCTCGAAAAATGGCAGTAATACTAAAATTCTCATCACAAGGAATAAAGATGTACAATGAAAATAAAGAGGTATAGTGAAGACACCCATTTATAATACAAACTGTACAACTCACTCACTTTGTTATGACTTGAAAGCTTGATAAAATGGCTACTGAAGTCAAATATAATGGAATACAAAATTTCCTGAGTAGTATTTGGTGATAACTTTGAATATTTTTTCCCTTTTCCTCACTCCATTTCTCCACCTTGCCCTCAGGTTTTTTGCCTTCTCTATTGAAGACAGCAACCTATGTTGAATTATGATCATCTTATAAAAGCTTTCTCATGGAGAAGTGTCAAACTGGTCAATTGCAGATAATGGAAACCGTCTGGCACGGTAAATGTTGATGTATATCAGAGGCCGGAAAAAAGTTTCAGCACATTCAAGTAATGGGGGCTATACTGCCAATCATTGACTCTGCCTCATTAGCTTTGCCTATCCATGATAGTGTTGTATTTATGATTTGAGGAATTATTTATCGCTTCAGAGCGTATAATTCCAAGGAATCAGCTCCTGGATCAGGAGTTTATGTGCCATTACTTCTCAAAATTGGAACTAAGCATCTACTTCCTCTCTCCTCCCTAAAATCATCCTCACTCGAGCTCTGACTCGAAAGGACATTTTAATTTGTCCCTCATTTCAACTACCTTCTTCCAGTAATCACAAGTTTCATCTCCTCTGGAACACAACTCCATCTCCCCTAATTTCTTCTCCAGCAAACGAATGACCACACAACCAATTTACCCAACCCAAATGTTACTAACCCAGCTACGTACTCACCTTGCCTATAATTCCTTTCAGCCAATTTAATAGAGAGTGCAGGAGGGCATGCCAGGAGCAGCACCTGGCATAGCTAAAAATGAGGTGTCAACCTGGTGAAGCTACCAAATAGGACTAATTGCATGCCAAACAGCATAAGCAGTAAGTGATACACAGAGCTAAGAGATCCCACAACTAACAGATCAGATCTAAGCTCTGTAGGAGCAAATTACTGCAGATGCTGGAATCTGTACTGAAAACAACAAATGCTGAGACCACAGCGGTTCAGACAGTATCCATGGAGCGAGAGTTTGCAGTCTCTCTATGGATGCTGTCTGACTAGATCTAAGCTCTGCAGTCCTGCCACAACCGGTCGTGAATGGTGGTGGTCAATTAAAGAACTCACTGGAGGGGAGGCTTCACAAATATCTCCGTCCTCAATGATGAAAGAGCCTAACCATGAGTGCAAAAGATAACGCTGAGGCATTTGCAGCAATCTTCAGCCAGAAGTGCCAAATGGACGATCTATCTTGGCCTCCTTTGGTGGTCCCCAGCACCACAGATACCAGTCTTCAGCCAATTTGATTCACTGAACATGATATCAAGAAATGGTTGGAGCCACAGGATATTGCAAAGGCTATGGACCCTGACAGCATTCTGGCAATAGTACCGAATACTTGTGCTCCAAAACTAGCTGCACCCTAGCAAGGTCATCCAGTACAGTTACAACACTTGCCTCTACCTGACAATGTGGAAAATTCCCAGGTATGTCCTGTGCACAAAAAGCAGGACAAATCCAACCCGGCCAATTACCACCCCATCGTTCTACACTTGATCACAAGTAATGTGATGGAAGGGGTCATCAACAGGGCTACCTGCTCAACAATAACTTTCTCAGTGATGCCCAGTTTGTGCTCTGCCAGGGTCACTCTGCTCCTGACTTCATTACAGCCTTAATTCAAATGTAGACATAAGGGCTGAAATCCTAAGGTGAGGTGAGAGTGACAGCCCTTGACATTAACCAAGGCTGCATTTGTCCGACTGTGGCAGCAAGGAGCCCTAGCAAAACTGGAATCAGCGGGTATCAGGGAGCAAACTTGCTGCTGATTGGAGTCATACCTTGCACATAGGAAGTTGGTTGTGGTTGTTGGAGATCAGTCATCTCAGTTCAAGGACATCTCTGCAGGAGTTCCTCAGGGTAATGTCCTAGGCCCAACTTTCTTCAGCTGCTTCATCAATTACCTTCCCTCCATTGATAATGTCAGAAGTGGGAATGTTTGCCAATGATTGCACAATGTTCAGCACCATTCGTGACTCAGATACTGAAACAGCCCATGTTCAAATGCGACAAGATCTGGACAATATCCAGGCTTGGACTGACAAGTAGCAAGTGACATTTGCACCACACAAATGGCAGGCAATAAGAGACAATCTAACAACCATCCCTTAACATTCAATGGTGTTACCATCACTGAATCCCCCACTATCAACATCTTTGGGGTTACCATTGACCAGAAACTCAACTGGACTCGCCAAATAAATACAGTGGCTTCAAGAGCAGGTCAGAAGCTAGGAATACTGTAGCAAGTAACTCACCTACTGACTCCCCAAAGCCTTCCACCACGTGCAAGGCACAAGTCAGGAGAGTGATGGAATACTCCATAGTTGCCTGCATGGGTGCAGCTTCAGCAACACTCAAGAAGACTGATACCATCCAGGACAAAGCAGCCCATTTGACTGGCACCACATCCACAAGCATCCACTCCCTCCATTACCAATGCTAAGTAATAGCAGTTTGTACTATCTACAAGATTGCTGCAAGCTCCCCTCCAAGTCACTCAGCATCCTGACTTGGAAATTTATCACCGTTCCTTCACTGTCAATGGGTCAAATCCTGGAATTCCCTTCCTAAGGGTATTGTGAGTCAACTTACAGCATGTGGGCTACAGCAGTTCAAGAAGGCAGCTCACCACCTCCTTCTCAAGGGCAACAGAAGACATACAATAAAAATTGCTGGCCAGCCAGCAATGCTGACATCCCACAAGTGAATAAAAACAGGTTCTTGCCCTGCTCACAGAACCGAGACCAAAGAAAAACCGAAAGAACTGCAGATGCTGTAAATCAGGAACAAAAACAGAACTTTCTGGAAAAGCTCAGCAAGTCTGGCAGCACCTATGAAGAAAAAAATCAAAGTTAACGTTTCGGGTCCAGTCACCCTTCCTCAGAACTGATGGTACCTGGGAAAGCGTTGGATTATATGCAGAAAATAGGGAGGGGGAGGGGTGGGGTAGGGAGTAAATGATAGGTTAGAGCCCAAAGAGAGAGAAGAACATTTGGACAGACAAAAGAGTTGATAACGATCTGGCTGGTAGAGTGAACAGTTGTTAATGGTGACTGTTAGTGACTAACAATAGGTACTGTGTAATGGCAGGCTATGTGATAACAAGGCCTGGTGTGTAGGGTAGGGGGCTAGGACATGGGAGAGTTTAGGCCCTAAAATTATTGAACTCGGTGTTGAGTCCAGAGGGCTGCAGGGTCCCCAAGCGGAAAATGAGGTGTTGTTCTTTCAGCTTGCATTGAGCTCACTGGTACACTGCAGCAAGCCAGAGACAGAGATGTTGGCCAAGGAACAGGGTGGTGTGTTAAAGTGGCAGGATACGGGTAGCTCAGGGTCTTTTTTGCAAGCAGAACACAGATGTTCTGCAGAGCGTTCACCCAGTCTATGCTATGTTTCCCCCAGAACCTCGACCAACTTCGTTGAAACACCAAAACAATTTGTGATTTCATTTGTACATATTGTTAAATGGTGTCCCACGTTGAACATAATTAGTCAATCCATTGAATTGCCCTTGACTGAGTACACTCTTAACAGTTCAAAAATATCTACCACAGTTGCCTAACTATCTCCTCCTTTTGCCACTGCTTGGTTACTTCCAGGGAATCTCAAGATTCCTTCTTTAGTTTTCTGGTTTTCCTTGTTTATGTGTTGCATCTTGATGATATTATCTGGAGGCATGTGTCAGTATCCAAATGTAGGTTGACAACATTCAACATCCAGCTAAAGATCTAAGACACCATTTATTCCAAGCTGTCATATAGCTTGTCTGATATAGTTGTGATTCAATTCAAATTTCCAACAAATGAACACTTGAAAGAATTATTCTGTTCCTGCCAGATTCTGTGGTTTAACCTGAGACCATTTTGCCTTAATTCCCTGTAATCTCATATCCTGTTTCACTGAACCAATCTTCAAAACCACCATCAAAACTTTCGCCTACTCAACAATTTTCCTTAATCCTTGCCTCACCTCCTACCCCACAAAATCTGTTTTTGTTACATCCAGCCTCATCTTTTCCTCCTTAATTTTGTTCTAAGCTCTAAATCATTTAAAACTCGACTACCCTAACCTGTCCCACACTAACTCATACTTTTCATCCTTATCCTCACCACTATTGATTAATTGAATGCCCCTAATATGTTTAATTCATATTTCTCATTTTCTGTTGGAAATCTAAGTTCTGTCCCACTTCAAGACCCTTGGTCTTTCTATCAGTGGGTCTTCGTTTACAGCCCATCCTTCCGCTATCAGTCACCTTGTCTTCAATCACCTCAATTTCTTCCTCTGTTCCTCTAATATTCTGTTTCTTTCACTACCTTTTACAGCCTCCTCAAAACTCGGCTTTGTGGTCATGCTTTTAATCATGTCTAGTGGCTCTTCTTACACTGTCCAGTGACCATTTTCCCATGAATCATCTTATGTTGTTTACTTTGTTATTAATGGTGCTGATCCAGCAAGTGCAGTATTTTATGGTTATATCCCACTTGCCGCATTTTTATCTGATCATCTTGCTGAGAGATAAGTCATAAGATGAAGCCTCACATGTATTAATGGTAACATTGATTTTAAAACAAACTTGGTTTCTGAAGTGTGGAGCCAAGCCAATGTTATTGATTTTGAAAATCAAATTAAATTGCTTCAAGTTCAAAGGACTAAATCAATTAAATTATGAGGTTTTCTCATTAATGCAACATTAGCAGATATTAATTTCAGTTTGGTTGAGGAGTCAATCAGTCTTAGCTAAATTGAACTGGATATCTGCTGAATTTGATCCTTTTCTAGGCTTAACCATAGGAATGTGATTGTGTAATACACAAAAAAAGGTTTCTACAGAAGAATCTGGCTGTAGTTGAGCTTATTCTATCCTGTTTTCCTAGGGTGACGTTGTTGGATGGAACAGAAATTAAGTGGGAAGTCCTTGTGCTGTCTCTC